TGGTCCGTCACCGCTGGCACAGGGCTAGGCTTAGGTTTAGGCTTAGGCTTCGGTTTAGGGTCTGCGCTGGCATGGGTCGAGGTTAGGGTCTGCGCTGGCACAGGTAGAGGCGTCCGTGTGTGTCCCCTCCCAGCACAGGCTGTGTTCAGGGCTCGGAGCCGGGTACCGGCTGAGGTGCCCGTGGCCCAGGCAGCTCTGGCAGGGCCTGGATGTCTTCTGGCAGGATGGTGGGGGCGGCAGCGTGGGGGATTGAGACTTAATAATGTTGGAGGGAACTGAGCCTGCCCAGAGCCCCTGACACCCACGCTTGGCCCTGTGGGCACCTGCGCGTACCAACTGACCCGTCCAACGCAGCCTCCACGCGTGAACTGCCCTGGTACACGCACTGCCCCTGTGCGCGCTGTGCCCTAGCGTGGCCCCTACACGTATACCGTCCTTGCACACGCACACGCTGCCCCTGCACACACACACTGCCCCATATACACCCTGCCATCCATCGCGGCCCCTGTGCACACAGTGGCTCACCTGTGCTGCCCCACTGCACCTACTGCTCTTGTTCCCTCAGTGCACCCCAAACCAGTGTACCCCAAAGTGTGTGCCCTCCTCACCCTCTGCTCCCCAAACTGCGGTCACAGCCCTTTGCATACTGACCCTGGAGCTCCCCTGCCCCAGCCCTCTCCCCTGTGCACATGCTGTGCTAGCCTCAGTGCTGTGGGGGGACTGGGTGACCCTGACTCCTGGGAAGGGGGGGACACGCAGCAGAGCCATGAGGATCAGTGCCAGGCACTGATGCAAGCACTGGCCTGCAGCAGCAGGAGTTCAGAGCTGGGGAAGAAAGGCACACAGGGCCACAGTGGCCCATGCCAAGCCTCGTGTGCCCCAAATGATGAAGGCGAGGAAGGCAAGAAGGGCAAGAAAGACGGAGATCGTGAGGAAGATGAGGAGGGTGAGGGGGCCTGTGGTGCTTCCAGAGGTTTGAGAGCTGGCGCAGGCAGGCAGGGGACAGTTCACACCCGTGTTTCCTCCATGGCCGACGGTTCTTATCATTTGTGTTTGGGGGAGATTAGCTCAAACTGGCACCATTTCAGAGCAGGGAAGGAGGGGAGGATGGGGGGCGTGTGATCTTCTGGGAAGCAGGGCCCAGGGAAACAGCAGCAGGAGGTGTGTCTGCTGCCTGTGCACGCGTCAGGGGGGCAAACTGCAAAGGCAGAAGGGGCCTTCAAACTGGTGGCACAAGAATAAATAGGTGTAAATACACGTGAAGACACTGGGATGTAGAGTGGGATGTGTCTGAGGATGGAGGAAAACCACTGTGAGTTCATGAGTGTACTTGCAGGAGCAGGGGCCAGCGTGGCCCAGGGACTCTCAGTCCTGTGTTTCTGTGCAGGCAGGGCCCCTGCATGCCCAGTGCCCGGCTGCAACCTGCACTTGGCCACCACAAGCACCGCTCTCCTGATGCCCTGTCTCCCATCCCTCATGAACACTCATCTCCTCCCTCCACCACCACAGCGTAGAGCAAACCCAGGGCTAGTTTAGTATCTTATGACCTATCACCTGTGATCTAATGACAATGATTTTTTTTAATTCATGCTCCAAAACCCTGACACCAGTGGCCCTGTGCTGGACTGCATCTCTGGCCAACACACTCCCACCCTGCCCAGGTGCCAGGGGAAGAGCACCCAGGGCAGGTGTGGGGGCACTTCCCTGGCAGTCAGCAGGGATTTGTGGCTCAGGGGCTTGAGCCCAAGGACAGTGTTTATAATTGATTGCCTCTGGTGGATTATTTTCACTCCATGAATTTGTCTGATTGTTTTTGGAGCTCATGCTGGCACTTACCTCCCACAGCAGCCCCAATAAAGTCCTAACCAGCCATTGTGATGGACGGAGCCAGGAGGGATTCATCCTACCCCACCAAAGAATGCCTTCAAGGTGATTCAAGAACCACATTTGGCTTGGGGCACCCTTCCTTCCTGCTCCTCAGAGGGATGCAGGCATGGCAAGGCAACAAGCTGAGATCCATTCCCCAGGTCCCACTATCAGCGTTGGCCGCATCCCAAGCTGGGGTGGGGTGGAAGCAGGCAGGGCCCTGGGGGGCACCCAGGGAGCCAATGGACGGTGCTGCCCCTGTACCACGGCCGGCCTCACTGGCAGCTCCCTCCCTCCCTCCCTCCAGCGGGAGCACCGTGACACTCCAGCCTGCCCCAGCCCCCAGCCATGGCACAGACTGACACGGTGCTGCAGCAAAAGTGTCTTTATTGATGGCAACTGGACACGGGCAGCAGCTCATCTGTACTTCTCGGCCAGCACGGCAGCCACGGCTGTCAGGAACTTGTCAATGGCAGCATGCGCCTCGGGGGTGTAGTCCTTGCCCAGGTGCACAGCCATCACCACCTGGAAGCACTGCGCCAGCAGCTGAAAGGCAAAACGAGGTTCAGCACCACCACTACAGCCCCTGTGCTCCTGTCCTGGTCCCCATCCTTCATCCCCCATCCCCCATTCCCCATCCCCCGCCTGCCTTGAAGTTGACAGGGTCGACACGCAGGTTGTAGGCGTGCAGGTTGCTGAGCTCAGCCAGGGCCTGGCTGAGGTTGTCCAGGTTCTTGACGGCAGTGCTCAAGGCATTCACCACCTTCTTGCCGTGGTTGCGGACCTGGTCGGAGCCATGCTTCAGGTCAAAGTGGGGGAAGTAGGTCTTGGTCTGGGGGTAGGTGCAGAACAACCTGCCGGAGTGGAACAGTCAGTGCTGCTGACCCCCAGGCAGACCCCCTCTGACCAGCACCCTGTGGGGCTCCAACCCCCTCGCCCCCTAGCCCATGGGGTCCCTGGGCCCAGCCTGCACCTCTCCAGGGCCTCGGCTCCGAAGTCCTCCTTCACCTTCTCCCAGACCTGCTGGATCACCTTCTTGTTTTCGGCGGTCAGCATGGCAGCGGCTGGCGGTGGCTGGCAGCGGCAAG